CCCCGAGCACTACCGGCAAGCTAATGAGACCGGGGGGGGGTCTCTATTTCTCACTCTGATCTCCACCACACGGCTGCCCTGCTACGGCCGTCACTGAACCCTGTGAATACATTGAGTGCGTTCCCTGGTTCCAGCCCTGCCCCCTCACATTGGAGCACCAGAGTCATGTGACAAGAGACTGCAGAACTGTGGAAAACCTGCTGAATCTGTCTGCAAGGTGTTCTCTAAGGTTCATAGTAAGTGGGCCGGTCTGCCGGCATATACAATGGCCATAGCGTGCCCGTGCTGCCCCATCCCCACGCTGGCCTGACATTTCCCCTTCCAACCAGCAGGTGTCGCCCGGCACCACAGTGTACACCGCGACCGTCTCCACATACATTGTACGCACATTCCTACTGGAGGATCACCACGGCTTGTTACATTGGGTCTACCTGGTGTCCTCCTAGCAGACCCCTGGGAGACCTCCAACTATAGAGGACGGGCCCCGCAGCCTCCTACCAGACACAAGGGAGACCTCCACCAGAGGACGGGCCCCACATCCCCCTACCAGACACCTGGGAGACCTCCGTCATAGAGGACCGGCCCCACAGCCTCCTACCAGACACCAGGGAGACCTCCACCAGAGGACGGGCCCCACATCCTCCTACCAGACACCTGGGAGACCTCCATCATAGAGGACGGGCCCCACATCCTCCTACCAGACACCTGGGAGACCTCCGTCATAGAGGACGGGCCCCACATCCTCCTACCAGACACCAGGGAGACCTCCACCAGAGGACGGGCCCCACATCCTCCTACCAGACACCTGGGAGACCTCCATCATAGAGGACGGGCCCCACATCCTCCTACCAGACACCAGGGAGACCTCCACCAGAGGACGGGCCCCACATCCTCCTACCAGACACCTGGGAGACCTCCGTCATAGAGGACGGGCCCCACATCCTCCTACCAGACACCAGGGAGACCTCCACCAGAGGACGGGCCCCACATCCTCCTACCAGACACCTGGGAGACCTCCATCATAGAGGACGGGCCCCACATCCTCCTACCAGACCTCAGGGAGACCTCCATCATAGAGGACGGGCCCCACATCCTCCTACCAGACCTCAGGGAGACCTCCATCATAGAGGACGGGCCCCACATCCTCCTACCAGACACCAGGGAGACCTCCATCATAGAGGACGGGCCCCACAGCCTCCTACCAGACCCCAGGGAGACCTCAGTCATAGAGGACGGGCCCCACATCCTCCTACCAGACACCAGGGAGACCTCAGTCATAGAGGACGGGCCCTGCAGCCTCCTACCAGACACCAGGGAGACCTCCATCATAGAGGACGGACCCCGCAGCCTCCTACCAGACCCCAGGCAGACCTCCATCATAGAGGACGGGCCCCACATCCTCCTACCAGACACCAGGGAGACCTCCATCATAGAGGACGGGCCCCACATCCTCCTACCAGACATCAGGGAGACCTCCATCATAGAGGACGGGCCCCACATCCTCCTACCAGACCTCAGGGAGACCTCCATCATAGAGGACGGGCCCCACATCCTCCTACCAGACACCAGGGAGACCTCCACCATAGAGGACGGGCCCCACATCCTCCTACCAGACACCAGGGAGACCTCCATCATAGAGGACGGGCCCCACATCCTCCTACCAGACACCAGGGAGACCTCCGTCATAGAGGACGGGCCCCACATCCTCCTACCAGACCTCAGGGAGACCTCCATCATAGAGGACGGGCCCCACATCCTCCTACCAGACACCAGGGAGACCTCCATCATAGAGGACGGGCCCCACATCCTCCTACCAGACACCAGGGAGACCTCCGTCATAGAGGACGGGCCCCACATCCTCCTACCTGACACCAGGGAGACCTCCACCATAGAGGACGGGCCCCAAATCCCACAAGAGGAAGTGAAGGGAAATCTCCCCAGCAGGACAATGAAGGTAAAACATAATAATTTGGAGTTCTCAGGGTTGTCGGCCTCCTGAGGGGTCATGTGACACCTCCATTTTACATGTGAGAGTCGGTTGTCACCGGAGCTGAGGGCGCCACGAACGCGTTCTGCTGATGTTTCCTATTGATGATAAATAAAGCCGCTGTGACTCCCTGCAGCTTCCATCAGGAGACCCCTCTAACCTGCGGAATATTACCCTGCGCCTGTGCGCGCTCCGCTCACCCGCCACGTCCCGAGCAATTGAACAAACCTTCCTGGAAAAGGTGTAATTATGGGGCGGCTCCGCCTGTCCTCAGACGGTGATTCAGATACCTTGTAAAGGTCACTCTGCTCTCCGCCGCCACTCAGAGTGCTGCAATCAGCAAGTATTTTTATCTACATTCTGATCCTATTTAGAGGCAGAAAATCCAGACGAATATATTCACCGCCGTGTCACCGACCACTAGACCGAGCGCACCAGTCACCGTGTCACCGACCACTTCTCACCTTCACCGTGATAGAGCGAGCGCACCAGTCACCGACCACTTCTCACCTTCACCGTGATAGACCAAGCACACCAATCACCGACCACTTCTCATTTTCACCGTGATAGACCGAGCGCACCAATCACCGTGTCACCGACCACTTCTCATCTTCACCGTGATAGACCGAGCGCACCAATCACCTATTACCGACCTCTTCTCATCTTCACCGTGATAGACCGAGCGCACCAATCACCGACCACTTCTCATCTTCACATAGATAGACCGAGCGCACCAATCACCTATCACCGACCTCTTCTCACCTTCACCGTGATAGACCGAGCGCACCAATCACCTATCACCGACCTCTTCTCACCTTCACCGTGATAGACCAAGCGTACCAATCACCTATCACCGATCTCTTCTCATCTTCACCGTGATAGACCGAGCGCACCAATCACCGACCCCTTCTCATGTTCACCATGATAGACCAAGCGCACCAATCACGACCTCTTCTCACCTTCACCGTGATAGACCGAGCGCACCAATCACCTATCACCGATCTCTTCTCATCTTCACCGTGATAGACCGAGCGCACCAATCACCGACCCCTATTCCTCTTCACCGTGATAGACCGAGCGCACCAATCACCTATCTCTTGTCATCTTCACCGTGATAGACCGAGCGCACCAATCACCGACCCCTTCTCATCTTCACCGTGATAGACCGAGCGCACCAATCACGAACTCTTCTCACCTTCACCGTGATAGACCGAGTGCACCAATCACCTATTACCGACCTCTTCTCATCTTCACCGTGATAGACCGAGCGCACCAATCCCCTATCACCGACCTCTTCTCACCTTCACCGTGATAGACCGATCACACCAATAACCTATCACCGACCTCTTCTCACCTTCACCGTGATAGACCGAGCGCACCAATCACCTATCACCGACCACTTCTCATCTTCACCGTGATAGACCGAGCGCACCAATCACCTATCACCGACCTCTTCTCACCTTCACCGTGATAGACCAAGCGTACCAATCACCTATCACCGACCTCTTCTCATCTTCACCGTGATAGACGGAGCGCACCAATCACCTATCACCGACCTCTTCTCACCTTCACCGTGATAGACCGAGCGCACCAATCACCTATCACCGACCTCTTCTCATCTACAACCAGACATCATACACACAAACCCTCCGCCATGGTGACATCATACATACCGGGATGCCATTCTGTGGGTGCCGCTGCCCCGGGGATCTGCTTTTGTTACATTATAATACACTGAATGGGATACAATGTGTTCCTTGGTGACAGATTCACAGAGGATCCATCGGAGGAGTCCATGTGATCCGGTATCAGACGTATGGGGGGGGTGGGGGAGGAGGGGAGCGGAGATAATAGTTATTCGGAGCTCCATCATCTTTGGGGGTTCCAATCACAAGGACGACATCGGGGAAGGAGGACGAGGATCTGATATCCGGGAAGGAGGACGAGGGTCTGATATCGGGGAAGGAGGACGAGGGTCTGATATCGGGGAAGGAGGACGAGGATCTGATATCGGGGAAGGAGGACGAGGATCTGATATCGGGGAAGGAGGACGAGGATCTGATATCGGGGAAGGAGGACGAGGATCTGATATCGGGGAAGGAGGACGAGGATCTGATATCGGGGAAGGAGGACGAGGGTCTGATATCGGGGAAGGAGGACGAGGATCTGATATCGGGGAAGGAGGACGAGGATCTGATATCGGGGAAGGAGGACGAGGATCTGATATCGGGCGAAGGAGGACGAGGGTCTGATATCCGGGAAAGAGGACGAGGATCTGATATCGGGGAAGGAGGACGAGGGTCTGAAATCGGGGAAGGAGGATGAGGATCTGATATCGGGGAAGGAGGACGAGGGTCTGATATCGGGG